ACCTGGCTGGATGACCTTGGGCAAGCCGTAGTTCTGACAAGAGCTGTCCTTGAGAAAGAGCAGTTTCTGTCAGAGCTCTCTCAGCCCCACCCACCTCATGGGGTGTCTGTTGTGGGGAGGGGAAGGGAGAGGAGCTTGTAAGCCGCTCTGAGACTCCTTTGGGTAGTAAAGGGCGGGGTATAAATCCAATCTCCTCTTCTTCTTCTTCGTAGAAGGGCATAAGTCTGCATAGGATTGCACTGAAAGTGATTCCCGTTTGATCAGTGATGAACATGTGTTTGAAAATACATTGTGAGTGTCTACAGTAGATGCACGAAGGCCCGACATTGGTAGCCCAGGCCAGCTTGATCTCGTCAGATCTCAGAAGCTAAGCAGGGGCAGCCCCGGTCAGTGTTTGGTTGGGAGACCACCCAGGAAGTCCAGGGTCCCTATGCAGAGGCAGGCAACGGCAAGCCGCCTCCGCACATCTCCTGCCGTGAAAACCCCGTGAAGGGGGGGGGTGGCATAAGTCAGCTACCCCTTGACAGCAAAAAAAGAGAAAAAAGCAGGATTGTCAATTCTCTTGCGTAAAAATCTTCATAGTGACACATTTTGAGTGAGCCTTGTCTTGTCTAAAAGTAAAGGTAAAGGTTTCCCTTGCTCGAAAGCCAGTCGCGTCCGACTCTAGGGTTGCGGTGCTCATCTCCGTTTCAAAGCCGAAGAGCCAGCGCTGTCCGAAGACGTTTCCGTGGTCATGTGGCCGGCGTGACTAAACACCGAGGCGCACGGAACGCTGTTCCCTTCCCACCAAAGTGGTACCTATTTATCTACTTGCAATGTCTTGCTTTCGAATTGCTAGGTTGGCAGGAGCTGGAACTAGAGACGGGAGCTCACTCCATCCTGCGGCGCTCTCGGGTGTCGAACTGCTGAACTACCGACCTTCCAGAGCCTGCAGTTCAGCGTCTTAACCACTTGAGCCACCGCAGCTCCCTGAATCCTGTCTTGTCTTAGAAAGCATATAACTAATTATGTTCCATAGGAATCCTCTTCAGAGCTCTCCCAATTTCCAATTTTTTGATTTTCCCCTGTTAATTTTCTCTGAAGGTATCCAATCCTGCTGTGGCATTTGTTCCTGGCACGCCACATTAGGTCACTTTCTCTCATTCTCCAGCCCATACATCCCACTTATTTTGGTGATGTACACTTGCAATCACCTGTGTAATTTCTCACCTGAATTCTCACCAGACTCTTTAGCTCTGGAGCTTTGGGCGGTAGCTGCCACTCGATGCCCTGCCATCTCTAGTTTCTCTAGCTGTGTGTTGTGACCCCCCGTCTAAGGCAGCCTGTGCTCTTCTCCCGCTGCTGCCCTAGCTGATCAAGAAGCACCTGGTGCACTCCATCAAAGCCCTGCAGAAGCATTACGTGACGTCCGACGCGCTCGTAACCAGTGACGACGGGGACGCCAACACTCTCTGTTGTGCGCTGGAGGCGGTGTTTGTGCACGGACTGAAGGCCAAGCATATCAAGACGGAAGCTGGAGCCAAAGGGAGGAAACTAGGGGGGCGCCCGCCCCTTCCTCAGCCTGTTTTCTGGGCCCTTCTAAAATCTATCACGCACAGGTGAGGGGGGGGGGCTGCCATTTTGAGGCTGTATAGCTGTCACCAGAACTCACTGTTACGTGTGTGTGTGTGTGAGAGAGAGAGAGAGAGAGAGAGAGAGATCGCTTTCTGGGGTGAGTCGTGATATTGAGAGTAAGTCCAGGTGCAGATTCCAGGGCGTGTGGCCTGGTTAAGGGCGCGGTGTCGTGGTTAAGTGCCTGGACTCTAATCTGGGAGAACTGTCCTTGAAAAAGAGCCTCTTCTTCTTCTTTTACCTCACAGGGTGTCTGTTGTGGGGAGGGGAAGGGAAAGGAGTTTGTCAGCCGCTCTGAGACACCTTTGGGTAGTGAAGGGCCATGGGGTATAAATCCAACCTCCTCTTCTTCTTCTTCTCCTCCTTGAAGGTCTTAAGAGGTCTTCTGTGGGCCTGTGCCGTGGCCAAGATGGGGTGGTGGTGTTTTGCTGGCTTCCCTTCAGTCCTCCTCCTCCTCCTCCTCGCTTCAGAAGCACGTGGCCTTCTGCACTCTCCTGGGCGGGCCACACCCTCTCAGGGCAGGTCCCTCGCTTCTCAGTCTCTCCAAGGAGACACCACGGCATGAACAAGCCCTTGTGCTGTCTCCTCACCCAGCTTCCATTTTTTAATTTCCCTCCAGAAACATAATTTCTGAACTGGAACGCCTGGACTTCATCAACACAGACGTGGGGCGCTGCCGCGCGTGGCTCAGGCTGGCGCTGAACGACGGCCTGATGGAGTGCTACCTGAAGCTCCTGCTCCACGAGGAGGCCCGCCTGTCCGAGTACTACCACTCGCCGGCCCTGCTGCTGGATGCCGAGGAGTGCGAGTTCCTCCTGAGCTACCTGCGGGGCTTGTCCTCCCTCGCCTTCGACCTCTCCTACAAATCGGCCGTCTTGAACGAGTGGACCGTCACGCCTCTCTCGCTGTCAGGGCTGTGCCCGGCCTCTGAACTGCTGGACGCCCTGGGGGGTTTGGAGCCGCGGAGGAAGGTGTCGCTGGGCTCTCTCTCGCAGTCCTCCGGCTCCGACGAGGTCGAAGGTCGCCCCACTACCTTGCCCCTTGCCAGAGGCCAGCGGGCCGAGACGCTCACGGCCTCCAACCTGAGCCTGAGCACGACGGGCTCCTCGCAGCTCTCCTCCAGCCTCGGCTCAGACGGGCTCCTCCCTGGGAGCTGCACCCGGAGCCCAGACAGGGGGGAAGGGCCCGTCTTGGGTGGTGCTGAAGTTGGTACCGCAGCCGCGAACGACTTGGACCGGTCACTCCAGGAGTGAGTATCTGCATGGAAGGCTAAGTCTTAGTTCTAGGCTGGTTAAATTTAGTGATCATCCTGTATCTTGCTGAGCTTGGGACGTTCAGCACGCATGGCAACATGCCGTTCGACTCCGAACTAGAGACCGGCAGCAAGGGAGAGTCTGGCTAGACTGCCAGACGAAACCCCACCTGCCCTCTCCTCTGCATAGAGATGTAAAAATTCCAGAAATTTTGAAGCTCGGAAAAAAGCCCATTTGTTTTTTTTCCGTTTTTTTCCGGAAAAACGGAAATTTTTGGAAAAATTGAAAAAAATGCTACATTAGCATTTCTTTTGTCTTTTCTAGTTTGAAAGTCATTCTGTTACTTTAGGAACATAAAACATGACTATGGACATTTTTACTTGGCATGAAATTATCACAACGAGCATATTAAAAATATAGTGTATCCAAACAATTATTACAGAATACCCACCCACAGGCAAACACAAAACTGAAACTTTTTTATTTTCTTCTGACAATCGCACCTCCTAAAGGAAGAAATGCCTCTTGTTCTTGCATTGGAGAGTTCACTTTGTAACCTAGGACTTGCTTGTCCTCAGTGCACAGAAATTACATCAATCTGATACCATATATATATATATTTGAGAAATGATTTGGAAAATATTTGAACACCTGGTCTTAAAATATTTTATTCATCATGTTAAAAAAAAATTCAATTTTTCTAATTTTTCAGAAAAAAACAAAAAAGGCTTCAGGGAAAAAACGGGGGGAAACCGTTTTCCCCCCGAATTTTTCCGGTTTTTTTCCCGGGCCTTCACATCTCTACCTCTGCATTCAGCCGGCTGCACGCACTCCAGAGCGTTGCCTCTTGGTGCGATTTTTCACCGTTCCTCTTCTGGCACGGCGTGAGGTTCTTCCCCCTCCAAATAGATCTCTGCTTCCTTCACAGCAGCTCAGCCAGTAGTGAGAGGGTGATGCACAGTTGGCAGGTGGCGATCAGTGTTGATCCTCTTCATGAGAGCCCTTTGAGGTAAAGCACGGCGGTTCTCATTTTCATAGACTTGAGATAACCGAGGCTGTGTGAGGCTGGACTTAGCGAGTTTATGGTCTGGCGCAGTGTTCCCTCTAAGCTGAGTTAGTGTGAGCTAGCTCACAGTTTTTAAGCCTCTGGCTCACACATTTTTGTCTTTGCTCAGGAAGGGTGGCTCCAGAGCAAACTAATTGATGCAGTCGCCAGATCCCTCGCTCACAACTTCCATGCCAGTCGCTCACAAAGGAGAATTTTTGCTCACAAGACTCCAGAGCTTAGAGGGAACATTGGTCCGGCGGCCCTCCTGTCGAGGACCCAGCATGGGTGGCCTGTAGTGTTCCCTCTAAGCTGAGTGTGAGCTAGCTCACAGTTTTTTAGCCTCCGGCTCACACATTTCTGTCTCCGCTCAGGAAGGAGGGCTCCAAAGCAAACTAATGTATGCAGTAGCCAAATCACCTGCTCTCAACTTTAATGCCAGGAGCTCACAAAGTAGAATTTTTGCTCACAGGACTCCACGGCTTAGAGGGAACATTGGTGGCCTGTTGTGGCTTTGCATGTCCTGGTGCACAAGGGGAATGGAACCCTGTCCTCTGGGCTCTTAACTGTCTTTGAATAGGAGAACTGCACAGATATCGCACGCGTGCACATTCAGCTGTGTGGAAATGCCTCCTCTGAGGCTGGATTTCACATAAGCTCAGCTGACCGAGGATGGGTGAGTGGAGGCAGTCCGTCTGTGGCTGGAGCCATGCGGGATCTCCTCAAGGGCTGTGAGGCAGTGGACCCGCTGGATCTTTGTGGTGCGCTGGGCAGCGTGGTCACCAAGGCTGTGCTCTTCTCACTCTTGACATTTGTTCTTATTTGTTTTTGTTTATTCATTTTATTTATTGAGAGGCAGTGTGGTGTAGTGGTTAAATGCGCAGACTCTGATCTGGGAGAACCAGGTTTGATTCCCCACTCCTCCACTTGCACCTGGCTGGATGACCTTGGGCAAGCCGTAGTTCTGATAAGAGCTGTCCTTGAAAAAGAGCCGTTTCTGGCAGAGCTCTCTCAGCCCCACCTGCCTCACAGGGTGTCTGTTGTGGGGAGGGGAAGGGAAAGGAGTTTGCAAGCCA